GTGGGGCGGCGGAGCCCGCGGGGCTGTGTAAATGGGGAGCACTGGGCTGTATTGGCGGTCGGTGGAAAGGGAGGACGCAGCTCCCGGGGGACTGATCAGCGAGGTGCCGAGGTGCGCTCTCGAGTTTGAAGTTGACTTTACAGACATGCTGACCTAATGCTGACTACAGAGAGCCGGTACGCTGAGACCCGCCCCGCGCTACCCGTAATCCCACAAGACTACACCTCTAACCCACTTCCCCCACTCCCATGGCTCAGAAATGGAGCCAAGTCACCTGCAATGAAGCTTATTCACATCCATCATATGTGACTGTCAGACCTTTACAATAATTTTCCTTTTGGTAAAGACGTTCTTCAAATTCTAATTGTAGTTTCATCATTTTATATAAGTGTATATGGAATTCATATGATTTTTTTCCTAATGTATGTCCAAAAACACTTTCCAGAGAATGTCAAGAGGAAAATAAAATTTTTACAGTGATACTGAGAAAAGTGCTTTTGTTCTAGGAGAAGGAACTCCCACTAGATGAATTGATAACATGAAAGGATGGGACAGAAAGAAAACAAAGATTAAGATGAGTAGCTTAATAGCTAAGAAAACAAATGGCTATAAGATCAGAAAGATAAGTTGAGCTGAGTCCATCAAGAGAGCAGTGTTTATGTTGGATCTGACGCGAATAGGACGCTAATGGAGGTGAAGGAAAAATGCAGTGAGTCTTGCTTTGGGGAGGAAGCCAGCTCAGTGTGATGGCCTCTCAGATTCAAAGTGCAGGCTTTAAGAGAACAAAAAGGACATAGAATGTAGATAGAAGTATGGTGGGTGTTTAACAAGTTATATTCTACTATATAAGATACTGCCTTCCAGTCAATCAGTAATCAAACAAATGTGTCACAGAATTAACTACATCTCTTGTACTCTTTTTGATTATAGGATAAACACTCATAATCGTCTTGTAGCAACACTGCAGGTTACTACACTCTATACTTCCGAAGCTGTCCATGCCTATCCTTATCCCCTGGTAGCCCAGGAACCAGTCGATAGTCCCAATGAGAAACTATATTCCAGGAAAATGCATCTATTCATGTGCTGTTAACGAGACTTTGTTTGCACTA